TGGGTATGGAGGGCCAACTGTACACATGTAAATGAGAAAAACCTTGAATGGATGAAGAGAAACAACATCTTTGGGGCAGAAGGAAGAAACGTGACCTGAATGCAAATCTAGAAGGCGGCCTTGGTAGGTTTGAAGAACGCCCTGATGGCTTCAACCTGGGTCACAGAGCACTGTGTGCCGCGACAGGTTCCACTTGGCCGTGGAACCTGGATGCTGTTTGTTCCATCGTTAAATCTCTAGATAAAACAAACTTTGGCTGGCAGTTTAATTTACACTGGAAAGTGCAATGAAGATAACCCAAAAAAGGGCCAAATTGAATAGCTGGATGTAAAGAATAAAATAAAGGCTGTTACAAGGTAGCTGAGACCAGCTCTGCAGGTTCCGGTGGGGAGGCCTCACCCACAGCCACACTCTGTGGGCCGAGTCACGGATTCTCTGACAGCCCTGGGGGCCTGATGCTGAGTCCCTCAGTGGAACCTTGCGAGGGTATTTTTCTGGGAGATGGCAGGAGAGTGGGGGTGACTTGGATGTAGCAGGCACAGGCAGAGCAATAGAACAGGAATTGTTCTGGGCCCATGACAACATAGAAATTCCAGGATGCCTTATACCTGGTGCTGAAGAAAGGAGTTTCTCATTTGCTGGAGAGAACTAAGTGTGCATGTTCTTGGGTGAGAGGAGGAAGAGTAAGCACCTGGGAGACCCTGGAGAGGGGCAGAGGGAGAGAGAGAGAGCTCAGTGCCTTTGCAGGATCTCCCTCTGAGATGAGCAGGCCTGGAGGTGGGGAGGGAAGGGAGATGGCCACAGAGGCAGGAGCGGAGAAAGCACGCTGTGCCCTGCGGCTTGTGTTTCTTCTTTGCATCATCTGATAAGCACTGGCTGTGGCCTGGCTGCAGGCTAGGAGGGCACGGGAGCCACAGGCTGTGTATAGAAGTGACTTTAGGAAGGGGGTTGGGGCACAGAAGACCAGAGAGACTTAAACAAGTGCAGCGCTGTCTTACAAATTCTCCGGCGTATGGGTTCCTGAGGAGGGGTACCAGGGGAAGAAGCCGTTGCAGGCTCCTCAGGCAGTTTGCTGGTGCCCACCAGTAGCCTCATGTGGAGCAGAGCCTTACCTGGTGAGAGCCAGGCCTGCTCCGTGTGCATCCACAAACCGCCACCCAAGCACTGAAGGAGACTTCTTCACTTGTTAGGTTGAGCTATTGATCCACCTTCTGCATGAACCACCAAAGTCCTTCTGAGCCTTGATTTCAGGTGGAAATGGCTTTGACTTCCTTGACCCCCAAAAGATGAAGCTTTCACAGCTCTTCTTTTTCCATGGACCGAGTTCAGAATTCAAGTCGAAGGTGGCTTTCCCAGAGGGAGGAACTAAGTGAAAGCAATGCCCATGGGTCTGCAGGGTGCAGAGAGAGGCTCTGCGTTTTCTGCCGGCACCGCTGCAGACAGCACCTGGGACACAGGACCCTGGAAGTCTCCCTTCCCCAGCGGCTCCTCGCCCATCCATCGCCTATTCAGGCAGCCCCACCCCCAGCCCAGTCCTCCAAGTCCGCAGGCAGAAAAGGCACAGGGTGCTGGTTGCCTCCACACATCTGCTTTCCAGGCTCCACGAGGCCCCATTTCTCGTTTTAGTCACCCTAACCTCATTCTGCAGCTTATTTCCGTCTCCTTTCTACTCATGCTCAAGCCACAGACTCACCCTCTGCCAACAGCCTGGTGTCACTCTTCCAGCAGCAGATCCACGGGTCCCTTCTGCTCCCTCCAACCTGATCCTCCCAGGTGCCTCCCGCCCCAGTGTGTCTTGTCTTACTTAGGTCTCCCTCCAAGGAGAACCTGCCCCTCCTCCTCCTTCCAGGTCTGGGGCACCTTCCATCTGGGGACCCTCCCTCCTTCACACAAGTGTGCACGTGTCCTCCATCCCCTGTCATAGGTTGTGCTGGTACAGGCACGTGGACACCATGAAGTCCCAGGAACCGACCTGCAGGGTGCACAGCCTGCCTGTCCAGTCACCTTGAGCCCCCGCTGCTTCGTGTCCTCAGGAGTGAAGTCATGTGGGGTCTGGAGAACGGGGAAGCTGGGGAGACGTAGGTTAAACACAGTAGGGTAAGCGGGCCTGTCTCTTGCCTTGGGGTGACAGGAAGAAAGAGCAAGGACTGGAAGGCAGAGGGACACAAATGGAATAGAAACCCTGCACCCAGCTCTGGTGTCCTCTCTCCCTCTCTCTCTCTGTCTCCTGTTTATTTGATGCATGGGCGGGGGGGGGGGGGGGTAGCGCAGCTTCTCCCCCAGGCTCCCTGTGGCCTCCCTGTCCTTTCTAGCACCTTCCTGAAATCTGGTTTACTCATTATGAGGTGGGTGGGGGAGAGGAATTTGTCTCAACACACCCCCACAATGTGGTGGCCTGAACATGTGCCATAAGATCTCCTAGTTTTCATGCATCTTAGCATTTCCAGTGATTCCAAGATGACAGCAGTAGGAACCAGGGACCCAGGGACAGATATCTCCATCAAAATTCCACATTAGGGGTTAACTCGAACTGTTACTTTTCCCCCCTTTATCCAAGAAAAGGAGCATATTTCCTGACCAAGATCAAAGAGTGACCAAATCTGAACACACAGGCCTCTGCTTAAGGTCCGGCATCTGAACAAAGTTACTCATTAACGCTTCCGTTGGCGGCAGAAAGGACGGTGAGCAGCAGGGGAGGCTGAAGGAGGCAGGAAAGCTGCACAGATTTCCAGAAAGGACGCTGTGGGGATTTTTTTATGAGTTTCTTACTCTTACACGTCCATCCCTCTGGGTTTGTGAAGGTAAAGAAGAGGAAGCTCCCCACAGTCTGCTTGGATGGCCCGGCCTTCGAATTCCAAATCGAGCTCACTGTGGTTCAGTTTCCCAGCAGTGGCAAAACCAGGATGTCCACAGGGTGGAGAGCCAGAGGGGCCCAATTAAAAAGGAAGAAATTAGAGAAAAATAAATAAATAAATAAATAAAAGAAAGGCGGGGGGGGGGCATGAAAGGTCCAGCGGAAAGTGAATGAGTGACAAGGAAGGAACGCAAATGGCAGCCTTAGTCAGGCTGGTGGCTGGCCGCGGAGTGGGGGACGCTGCTGCGCGCGAGCGTGACAGGTAGGTTGTGCCTCCAGGAAGGGGAGCAAGTGGGCGGGAAGTCCCCCGAAACCCAGGCAGCGCGACCTCAGTTGCGGAGGGAGCGGGGCGCGCGCCGGGCGGGAGGCGGCTGCGGCAGGCGAGACGGACGCGCAGTCTCCCAGGCCGGCCTCGGAGCCACTCTCCCGCCGCGCTCCGGGCATCTCCTCTGCCACGGACGCGCCGCCGCTGCCCGGCGTCCCCGCTGCCTGGTCTCGAGAGCCCCCCGCGCCTGCCGGAGGGGAGTAGCGAGGTCAAGCTGAGGCTGTCCCAGGGCGCGCTTCGTCGCGGAGACGCAGGGACCAGACCCGGGGATGAGCCGCGGAGGGCGGCGCGGGCTCTGACGCTGGTTGGGCAGCCACTGCTGGCCGCTGGCAGCGCGATGAACAAGCCGGCGGAGACGCCCTAGTCCGGTGCACGCGCCGGGCGGAGCGCGCAGGTGGGGCTGCGCTCTCCGTGGAGCACCCCGCGCGGGTCCCCAGCTTCGGGGAGGATGGGTGCCAGCGCCCCGGGGCCGCGCGCTCCACTGCTCCCTCCGCGTCCTCCGCGAACCCGGAGTCCGGCCGGCGCCCTGCGATCATGTACGTAGGCTGGGCGCCCAGCCCCAGGGGTGAGGGTGCACGCTGGGTGTCCGCTCCCGGGGCTCCGTTCGGGCTGCGTACAGCAGCTCCGGGCAAGCTTCTCCCTCCTCAAGTTAGTAAATATGGGTGATTCTCCCGGGGCTGAGGTCCACCGGGCCTGGCCTGGGAACGAGCAGGGGACACAGATGACCGGAACCGTACTGGAGACCCGGTGAGGGGGAGGGAGACACCGGAGCTCGCTGAATTTGGGGGGGGGGGTTGGAAGGGGAGGTTCAGAGTGGCTGGGTTGCCTGCACCCTGAGGCATCTTGGGACCCTTGGGCTGCAGAAACTTTGGGGTCTGGGGAGGCTTTGGGGACAGGGATAGTGAGTGGGGCTCGTCCCTGCCCTGCACCCCCATCCCCAGCCTCCCCCACCGCAAACTTTAGCGCCCCGACCCCCTCTCCTAGGTACAAAGCAATTAGGAGACAGAGCCTGCCGCCCTCGAGGAGCCTCTCCTCCCACCCCAGTGCCTGGGCAGCCTGCGGGCTGCTGCGGCCAGTGGGGAACCAAGTCTTAAATCCCCAACGCCCTCCTGGAAAGGGACCTGGGAGGAGGGCGGGAAGCACTTAGAAAGTTGTTGGAAATGACTCAGGGGGTCCTAGCAGCTTTGTTTGACCCCCTCCTCCAGTCCCTGAGGTGGAGTGGGGGTCCTGCTTAGCTCCCAGCATGGTGGTGCGTGTCCAGCTCCACGGTGGCATTCTCCACTTGGTAACTTTTGGGGATTGTGTCCAGAACCTAGGGAGGGGCACCCTGGGCGCCTGAGTTCTGTGATTCTACCCAAGATCGGTGGGTGGGGGCGAGCGGGGGGATGCGGCCGGGCTCGCGGCTTCCCCCCCAACTCCGCCACGCGTCCTAGGCCGTCTTCACAGCTCCTCACCACTACGGGAGAAACACAGCGGCGGGCGTTTTCCTGGAACTTCGCTTCCATGCCCGTCTCCACGAGTCGGGGACGTCTAAGAAAGGCCGGCTGGGCCCGGACGCCGGGCTTGCTTCCCTGCTGGGCTTGCGGCCCGGGCCCGCGCGGTCCCGCTCCTTCCTTAGGGCGCTGCGGGAGACGGGCGGCGCGGGCCGAGACGGGGCCGGGGCGCGCGCGGGCCCCGGGGCTCAGCTGTGCTGTTATTCTCTCGACAGGGACAGCGGCTCCCAACTGGCGGCGGCGCGCCCCCGGGCTGTGAATGCGACTCGCCCCTCGGCCGCGCTCCCCGCCCGCCCGCCCGCCGGGACGTGGTAGGGACGCCCGGCTCCACTGCGATGGCAGTTGGCGCGCTGTCCAGTTCCCTCCTGGTCACCTGCTGCCTGATGGTGGCTCTGTGCAGTCCGAGCATCCCGCTGGAGAAGCTGGCCCAGGCGCCGGAGCGGCCGGGCCAGGAGAAGCGCGAGCTCGGGCGCCCAGCGAGGGACGAGGGCGGCGGCAGCCGGGACTGGAAGAGCAAGGGCGGCCGCGGGCTCTCCAGCCGGGAGGCGTGGAGCAAGCAGAAGCAGGCCTGGGCCGCCCAGGGCGCGGGCTCCAAGGCCGGGGACCTGCAGGTCCGGCCCCGCGGGGACACCCCGCAGGAGGAGCCGCCGGCCTCAGCGGCCGCCGCCCAGGACGCGGTGGGCCCGGACCCCGCTCCCGCCACGGAGCCGCCGGAGGAGTACGCCTACCCGGACTACCGCGGCAAGGGCTGCGTGGACGAGAGCGGCTTCGTGTACGCCATCGGGGAGAAGTTCGCGCCCGGCCCGTCTGCCTGCCCGTGCCTGTGCACCGAGGAGGGGCCGCTGTGCGCGCAGCCCGAGTGCCCGCGGCTGCACCCGCGCTGCATCCACGTCGACACCAGCCAGTGCTGCCCGCAGTGCAAGGAGAGGAAGAACTACTGCGAGTTCCGAGGCAAGACCTACCAGACTCTGGAGGAGTTCGTGGTAAGAGGCGAGAGCCTGGGGCGACTGGGTACATCCGGGGGTCGCGGGGGGTGGTGGCGAGGCCGCCCGGAGCGCTATGCACCCTCACGGTGGAGAAGAGGCGCTCTCGGCCCCCCAAGGGATGGGCAGCGCTGTGCCCTGTCCTCCCGACACCGCCTCTCTTTTTCGGGCAGAGGCGATCTTCTAAAGCAACGCGGCCACTCGCCTTTATTCCTTCTGCCTTCTTGTAAAAGGGTTTCCTCAGAGGCCAGCCCAGCCGGCTCTGAAGGGGCAGGCCCGACCGCCTCTAAGCTGCACTTGCAACAGGAGTAGTGAACCGCTCCCCGTTCGGAAGTGTTGCCTTTGAAATGCCCGACCTGTCTTCAAACACGGGGTGACCGGCCATGCAGTCCGGGACATATTCTTAAGTCAATAGCCACTCAAAGGAGATGATTCACACAAATAAGCCATTTCCCTAGATTATATGTTGGGGTATCGTGCAAATATTCTACAAATTAGAAGAAAATGCTTGCTCGTTGGATGCCAAAACATAGTGGTCAGCAGAAACAAGAAGCCAGTTCATGGGTAAAAAGACGCTTTATTCTCTATGAGCAAAAATACTACCAGCAGCGGCCAGCTCCTGAACGCCTACTGCGTGTCAGGCTCCAAGCTGTTATTCGAACCTACGCTGACTTCCTTAAACCTCAAAGCATGCTATAGATTTTTATCTAGTATCTCCACTTCGTGGAGAAGAGGCAACTGAGACACAGAATACTTAAGTAGTGTGCTGAAGGCAATACAGCGATTCCGAAGTAGATTCGTGCGTCCCGCGCCGTGGTTCTACTCTAGGGCGCATGCGTTTTACCCCCTACGCTCTGCCGGAGCCCAAAGCCCAGACCCCAGCGCAGGGGCTGGGGTGGTGATGCAGCCCAACACGCAGGCGCTGGCCTGTGGGAACTCAGAGAGGCCTGACTCTCCACCCATGGGCCTGGGAGACACTGGAGTGCTGTCCATCCATTCCAATTGCCCGAGGCGGGTTCACCCACGGTGTGCCTGAACTTGGCCTTGGCCCAGTGACTTGGAATGCCAGAGATTTTCTGGGCTGCAGAAGGCATCCTGGGATCTAGAGCCCTGGGGAGGATCCCGCTGGAGTCCCCTAGGACACAGCCGCTGAGCAGTGGGGACTCAGGGTGTCCCCAGGATGAGAGTGCCTGCATGGAGTTTTAGAATTAGAGTCCCAAGGGCTCTGGAAACAGACAGCCAGGAAGGTGCAGCAATAGGTAATGCCCGAAGTGCAGGAAGAACTCCAGGAGTTAGAGTCAGGAAACGTGAGTCTCCATTCTGGCGTTGCCACTAGAGAGCTGTGCCCCCTCTGGGGTTCCTTTTCCCACCGGTAAGCTAAGGGGAGCCGATGCCATCGGTACCTGTTTACCCTCACGGTTCGTGGCTTTGGTCCTTGGAGAAACCAAGAAAACTCTGATGAGAAACTCGTGGGAACCAGGCCCTGGCCGTGAGTACGCCAGGACCCTGGCAATGCTGCCTGACTCCTGGGGAGTAGGGCAGGCGCCTCCCAGGTGTGTCGGGTGCTGGCTGGAAGCACAGAGGCAGGGGCGGCTGTGGGTGCCGGTGAAGCCCAGAGGAGGGACTTCCGGGGTGGCCTGGGACAGGGCTGTAGGCTCGGACCCAACAGAACAGTTCTCTTGAGACTGAGGTTCATAAGAAAATCGAAGTGTTTTAAGATCAAAGACAAGTGGTTGGTTTTAATTATTCACATGGATTGTTGCACTGTACAGAGCTGCAAGTGAGGGAGGCAGAGATGTTATCAGCATTTTGGTCTCAAACGTACAAACACATGGCAGAGCAGGTCCTGTCTCCCTGAGATCCCAGCGAGAAGGAACATCTCAAACTGCTATTTAGTAATTCGCTGCCAGGCGTGAGATGCCACGAGGCTGCCTTTGGGTGTGGGGAGGGGGCCTGTTTCCAAACCCTGGTCAACAAAGAGGGTGGGAATGCCCACCTGGAGATGGGAGACAACAGCAGCAAGAGAGGTTGGGAAGGTCACAGTCTTGGGAAGAAATAAAGTACCCACAAACCGATGGCTAGAGTATTACCTGCATCTTTCATCTTCAAGTGACTCTTCATTCTCAATGTCCATGCAGTCCTCATCAGGCACCAGGACACCCTCGGGCAGGGTGTCGGGCAGCAGGTACACCTTCCTAATTCTGCGGCTCCTCCTGCAGTTCACATGACTACGTGGTGATTCCATTTCTGTTTTGTATCGGGAGAACATCCATGCGTTTCCCTACCTTAATGCGGCTTTGGGTCAGTCCGTAAGTGTTGGTATTTTCCTTTTCTTCCATGTCAAGAGAGGATGCTTTCTTCGGGGCGTCAGAAGGACGGCGGTAGGAAGGGTGGGCACAGGTGGGCACAGGGGTGTCCAATCTGTGCCCCGAGGGCCGCATGCAGGCCAGGCTGGCTGTGACTGCCACCTGCCACAAAGTCGTAAATTTACTCGAAACTTGACGAGATTTTCTTGTGATGACATGTTGCAATGGATTTAATGTGTGGCCCAAGACGATTCTTTTTCTTTCAGTATGGCCCAGAGACTCCAAAAGGTTGGACACCCTGGTAAAGTCAGCTGGAAGCCCAGGGGTCTGTGGGATGCAAATATCCCACAGGGCGTGACCTGGGTGTGACCACTGTTCACACACCTGCTCCGGATCCTGGGCTTTGGAGGGAGGAATGGTAGCCTGTGTTTGCAGAGTGCATGGAAAATAGAGAGGGAACACATTTCCGGCCTGAAACACCAGCTGGGTTACAGTCAGGTCAAGCTGGGCTGTGGTACCCCCTGGCAGGGAAGGGGAGGAGAGGGAGGCACACAGGTGCTTGCACAGACAGTCTGTTCTCTGCTCCATGGGGCAGAAGCCCTGATGGATGTGGGGTGCTCACTGGGGGTCTGCAGGGAGAAGCAGACAGAACCCCGGGTCCTGCCCTGTGCCTGGGAGGCGCGCTTGGTCTCTGCCTTCCTGAGCTTCTCTGTCCTTGGGCAGGTGTCTGCTGCTGCCCTTTCTGTCCATTTTCTTCTGTGCTTCACACCTGTCTTCCCCTGTCTCTCGCCATCCCTCGCCCCACTGAAACTCATTTCTTATGTCTGGTTGAGCTCAGCCAGATGTGAGCAAGAGGACCTCACTCATTGCTTCAACAAAACATTATTCAGCTGCTAATAATAATTACAATAACATCCTCATTCATCCAGGATGTTTGCAATTTAGCTTGTTTATCTGAACAAGAACATAGTGACTAGTAGAATTTACTTCACTGCCTCTCAGATTAGACCAAGTGTCCTGTTCTTCAGCTCCTACCTGCAGGCACCCAACTGGGAATAGGTGAGTCTGTCTATTGTTTCTGTTGCATGTAAATGAAACGAGTCCATTTCGAGCAACAGAGGAAGTTGTTTCTCTCTCGGGCATCCTGACACCCTGGGGGGATGGCGATCGCGGACTTGGGGCCTGCAAGCTTGTCCTGCTGTCCTGTAGAACCTCACGGCGTTCACCATTCACGTGACTCCCTGACATGAGACGGCTCAGGAGAACTGAAACCGCACGCTGCTGCTGTGGGCTGGCTGGCGCTTGTTCAGCCCGTGTATCCACACTGGCTATCACGGCTGGTCAAGAGCTCTGACCAGCAACTGTTCAAGTCTTTGAAGAAGAAGGAAGAAGATGAATTGCAAGTAAGTGCTGCTCGCAAGACAGAGCTCCAGCGCTGTTGGCCGGGCTTGGCGAAAAGCGGCAGTGGCAGGTGGGATGCTTTGGGGCCACCGAGCCCAGCAACCCTCCGTGAGGGCTTCTGCGTCGGACTTCTCACTAACCCTGTTGCAAAAATTGCATTTCTAGAAGTTTAATAATGAAAAAAACTTATGTGAAATTTGGACTCGAAAGGTCCATCTAAACAGATCTCTACTGCAATTACGGTGCAGTGCCTCTGAAGAGGAAGATGCGATTCTGCGTGTTCTCAAAAAGTGATGAGTTCATACTCTGTTGGCTGACAGCTCTTCACATAGAGCAGCACCGTGATGACCGAGCTTTGCCGTGTCAAACGAATCCAGCTGTAAGAAGCTGACGTTCGTCTAGCGCAAGTGCCACTGTGGCTGCCCACGGGCTAGCTCATTCCCAGTGAGAGTCGGAAAGTTCCGGACTTCTTGGGCGGTTTCTCTGGAGCTTTCCCATGAGTCCCCCACTTGGTGAGGGGGACACAGCTCGCCTGACTGGTCGTGGGCATGCTCCGTGCAGCAGATATGGTGGAATCAACCCCATAAAAGTTTGATCATTCATAATGGGAGGAAGGAAACCAATGTCTACTCAGCGTCTGTATGCTTTCCACATCTTTTTGGTGATTTACACAACAGACTGAGGAGCTGGTGTTTTCTTTATTTTAAAGGAGAAAAAACTAAGGTTCAAATCAGTGAAGCAGTTGGACCGAAGTCGCCGAGCTAGTCAACAGTGGAGCCGAGATGGGAGTCCTGGCCTGTTGGACCCAGAAATCGTGCACTCCCAGCCACGATGCCTTATCTTTATGACCACACTGCAACAAAGTGGCATTCTGTGCGTGGCAAAGAGAATGTGTGGTTTACGGAGAAGGGGAAGCTCACTCAGGCTGGGAGCACTTGACCGCTTACACATCCAGGAAACACTGGATGAGTTTGGTGAAGCGTCAGTTTATAAAGCATCCAGGGTGAAACGAATACCCATGCTCTGCAAAGTGTGAAATCCTGAGTTGCAGTGAGAACAGAAGCTTTCGGTTCCAGGAGCTCCCTGGGGGCGCAGGGAGCACCTCCCATGGGCTGTGGACCCAAATACTCTATCTCCAGGCCTGGCCAGGACCTTGGAGATTAGCAGGCCTGTGGGAGGAAGGGGGACAGACTGGTGGACCGAGAGGCAGCTGCAGCCCAAGGAAGGGCTCCGCTTGGCTCCCCGCACAGAATGCAGCTGTTTGGCGAGTGAGTACAGGTGTTTGACAAATGC